TGTTTCAAAAATGTCTAACTGGAGAGTGGAGGAGACTAGATCTATGAAAATTTGGGATAGCACTATATGTAAAGGGATCAATGAGAGATACATTAGTAAGTTATATCAAGTACAAAGAAAAACAAGTATAAGATCATGGAATGCTAGATAAGATATGTATGGTAAAATTACTAGAGATTAATTTATTATCTGTTTTGCTTGCTTTAGTGGTGCTCTGCTAATAACACTGTGTTACACTGTAGACTATATTTTACATTCTTCCCCGCCTTTCGGAGCTTGCTGAAGATGAATGGATCTCGCTCTCTAAATTCGATAGATTCACTGACATTCCTTTGCCACCAGCATTTCAGTGGTACCATTCTCGAACAGAATTTCGTGATCTGAAACCAAGTGACTGGTCCCAGCAAGACATGGGTAAAATATAGCTAATCTATATTAAATGTAATTATTTGTATGTAGTAGCTGTATACTTCTGTGTTCAATCTGATCTCTGTTTCTTAGCTGAAGTAGACTTCTATGTATGAGAGCAGAGTATATACCATAAAATAATAGTAAATGACTAATGGTGGCTACAGTATTACCATTTAGATAATCTTTACTGAAGCAGTAGTTTTGCTACCACTTGCCTATCTGTATGACTACTAATTGTTTTTATAGGCTCAAGTTCAGCTGAAACAGATAGCCAGACAGAATGGACTGATGTTCAGAAAAAGATTATACCCTGGAAAAACAGTACTCCTAGTTTAGACCTGGAAATGGTATTTCAGGACCGTGCTGCTAAACTTGGTAAATCAAACAGCAGACTGATCGTGGTGGCTTCTCTTATTGATAAACCTACCAATTTAGGAGGTAAGATTGATGGCACATCTTATTTTAGACCAGTTGGATAATAGTAATGAATTTCATTTTATGTTGATAATTAGAAAACTATTTAAGGACTGCTCAGAGAAATAGATTACTATCTTGGAGAGGTGGTAACCAAACAAAATACTACCTGCTTCAGAAGAAGGGATCTTCTATAGTTTCATTTCAAGGGGGGTTGGGGGAGGAGGAATTACACATAGCATGTATTAATGAAATAGAACTTTTTGCTGTTAAGTCATGCTCAGTTTCTTACTGCTTTTGTATTTTTTGTTACAGTTGAGTTTTTCAACATTGTATGTAGTTAAAGGAAATAATTTGCTTTTATGTTCTTTGTGGTAACAATTAAGCCAAATTTTATAGACCTACTAGTTTCTCATGATGTGGACAGGAAAGTGCCTGTTCCTGATTAGGTGCTTTTCACAATGTCATACAAGCTGTGATATAATAAATCCTCCAAATATTTTATTGCATTGTACTTGCTGTTGTCAGCAGTTTAAATAACTGCAGTGAGACTGTTAATGAAAAATAAGCCCACAAGCTGCTGCTGTCTGCATTGTAATGTGTCATTCTCTCAATGTAATGTCATTTAACAGGTATGGGTTTTATAGCTGAAGCATGTGTGTGTGTATGTGTCAATCCAACCCTGTTGAGCCTTGTAAGCTGACCCATTACTCTGTAGAAGCACACTGTCAGATATACTACTTTTCTAATTTTTATCTTTCTGATAAGTTACAAAACTTTTTTCCACCTTGGTAAATTATATGGAACAAGGTGTGGCTTGGAAAAACTGACGTAAAACTGATTAAAAATAGAGGACTAAAGTAACCATTTCTCTTGGATATTTTTGTCCTTTCTCAGTTGCTAAAATATTCTGGCTTTGTGTTTATTTGCTACACAAAAATCACTTTAATTCTTCTTTTTGCAGGTTTATGTCGTACAAGTGAAATATTTGGGGCATCTGCATTAGTTGTGGGCAGTCTTCATTATATACAAGATAAGCAGTTTCAGCATCTTAGCGTTTCTGCAGAGCAGTGGCTCCCCCTTGTTGAGGTGAATGGAAACATTTTAATAGCTCAGAAGTGTACTGTACATCTTCAGTTCATCAACTGTATAGTACAGTCTTTTTTTATCTGGTAAAAATGAACCTTTTATTTAACAGAAGCTCCCACTGTTATCGCTGAGACTTAATCTTCAGTAGTTTGGTATAAAATTTGGCTCAACCTCATAAAAATAGCTTATCACAGCAGTAAGAAATTAACATTATTTTTAAATTGATTGTGTGAGCTGTCATTGTTACTCTATTTTTTATAGTGGCGAGTTGGAATTTAATGTTTATTTATAAATGTTAAACAATGCTTCATTTATCTTGCTCCATTGCTTTTGGTAAAACTGTGGGGATGATCACCAAGCTTGCCTGGAGCTAACTTGTGCCAAGCTTGTAGAACCTATTATCTAGCTTATAAAAATGAGTTTCGATCTATATGTTTAGTATTTGGTAGAAAATGTTTGTGATATTTTATAATGATCAGTTTTTCAAGATCACTTTTAAGTCATCTGAATAATTGAGTGCAAATTTTTCACCACCTCCTCTCAGTGTTTATGTTCAGCCTATTCAGATTTTTCTTGATAGCTACAGCGTTTTGCCTAAAACAGAATAATGCTGCTGGACATGTGTTGTCATGCCTAGTCTCTGCATAGAAGTGTACTGATGATAGAACTTCAGAATGAAGGCATTTAATATGAATAAGCAATTTAAAGAGTAGAGTGCAGACAATTCTTCACTGCAAGCTATTACAAGTTGTAATGCAGGCATGTAAGGCAACTCAGCCTTGGTACTGGGTGTTGTATTGTTTTGGGAAGGAATTCCAGGTTAAACAACTATGCACCTTCTCCCTGTGATTCTTCTACATTCAGATGTAAGGCTTGTAGCTGTCAGAATCATAAAAAAGCCTTTTTGTTCATGGTATTCATGGAGTACATTTTTTGTGACCTTGTGTGCTATTGCTGAAGAGCTTTTAAGCTATGCATATGGACAGAGCTTTTGGAGATAAAAGTCATTCATCTTAAAAACAGTCTAAGTAAATTGATTTTCATGGTTACTTCAGAAGTTTACGGATGGTGATATTTAAATATTTGTGCATTTCTCTCTGCTTCTGATGGACAGGTGAAACCATCTCAGCTTGTTGATTATTTACAGCAGAAAAAAACAGAAGGCTACACTATTATTGGTGTGGAGCAGACAGCTAAAAGTTTTGATCTTACAGAATATTGTTTCCCAGAGAAGTCACTGTTACTGCTGGGGTAAGAACACACACGTTTTTGTAAATCTACTTCTTGAAGTCCATCCCTTCTAGTAGTCAGATTTTGGTCATGTGAAAACCAAGTGGCAGTGGTGAAGGTGGATTTAGAGTGCAAAGTGATCGTGGAGACAGCAGAGCTTGACTTTGTGTGCTCAGGAGCAGGTGGTGATGCCTGCTTCTGAACGTTCCTTCTCCTCATACTTAATACACTATCCAAACACTGTAACTACTTTTTTTATATGAGTGGAATTAGCAGCAGCACAGATGATAGTTTTCCTGGTGTGATAAGAGGTACCAATAGTTCATTTCAGTTATCTGGGGCTCTGGGCGTGTAGGCTGCAGTTTGCTCAGCAAGAAGGGGGCTGCCTGTTTGCTCTGCTTAACTTGGTGAGGACTGGAGCTGACTGGAAGCATGCATGGGAGATGCTTTAAAAATCAAGGGTGAGGCACAAGACAAAGCACTGTTTCTGCAGTACAACCAGAAGCTGGGACAACTTCGGAAAAAAGCAGTAATCAGTTCCTATAGGCAGGCAAGCCTCATTTGTGACAAAGGGAAGGCTACTTGAAGAAGTCTAGAGGAAAGTGCCTGCAAGTCAGAAAGCTACTGAATTGTAGGGTCGCCAAGTGAGATCAGGAAGACGGGCAAAAATACTGGGTTTTCAAACCTTTTTATATGTAGCTTGTCTTCAGAATGTAGTTTTCATCATTACTTTGTTCTCTTCTACTTAAAACCACAGTTCCAATTACCAATAGATAACCTTTAGTAACTTCTGGTGTGCTCATTCTGAAGAGGTGAAACACTTCCAGTTCAAGGCTCCAATCAGTCTCAACATTCCCTCATACCAAGACCTCACTGAATGTAAAGTGGGCAGTTAGAGCTTCCCTGTTGAGCCAGCAGCTTCATGCCCAGATCATTTCCTATACAGCTGTTCACTAGTTTCAAAATAAAGGTAGAGAGGAAGTCTTCATGTTGGGTGTTCAGCTGTTGCTGGAGCAGTGAACTGAATTTCTTTCTGACATCAAAGCTTAGTTAGGTCTCCCATATCTTCTTTTTTCTTTAATAGAAACGAACATGAAGGAATCCCAGCAAACCTGATTCACCACCTGGATGTCTGTGTGGAAATTCCTCAGCAGGGTATCATTCGATCCCTCAATGTTCATGTAAGCGGAGCTCTGCTGATTTGGGAGTACACAAGGCAACAAGTCATCAAGCAAAAACAGTAAAAATAACCATCAAGAGTTCTGTGCCTTATAGTACAGATGGGTGACTTCCTATGGTGCTACAATGTGAAATTCTGAATGGGCGAGATGATACAAACTCAGGGTGAATGAGGATTCTTCAGTTTTGCATGTTTTATTCTCCGTAATGTTCAGACTGACTTTTAAATGCCTTAATACTATACCTCCTTAAATAAAACTGTTGCATTGGAAATAAATACTATTTATATTGCATGTAGATTTTTTTCTACTATTGGAACATCAGTATAGTGTGTGAAGAATCCCAAACTCAAAAAATAAGTTTTTACTGCAGTTACTTCAATTGTGATGACCATGCTTGAAATGAAAGTGGTGCCTTCCTGCCTCAATCAAAACTTACCTGCAGCCAAAGCATTCTATGCCTCCAGCATGTTTTTCAAGGTAAATTCACTTACATTAAATGCCACCCCATGCATTAGGTCTTCTAATAGCTGCTGTTTTATAAATTGATGTCTGACTTTACCACATATATCAAAGTATTTTAAAATACAGTTTAATGACAAATACAAATCCTATTGTACCACCACCTCCTTTTGACAAGGAAGTTGGAATGGTCTTCTTATCTTAAGGAAAAGCTGGTTAACTTACTGAAAAACAGTTTTATTGTTCTCTTCAGAATTATATTACATTATTAAACAATCATTTATTCCCATGAAACAGTTTGACTAATTGCACATTCAAAACCTTAATTTTTGAATAGCCGTGCACCATATTTCTTTGACTTATTCTCATGAAAAAGCTATCCACGACCATCTTTTCCCAGCAGACACCTGAGACCTGGTAACAGGAGCAGCAGTGTGCATTTCAGGAAGACAGTTTGGTTACCAGTTCTTGAGCTGAAGCAGCTTCGGTCACTTTCTCGTGCTTTTTCCTTCCATAGTTATTCTCACTAGATTCATTTTGAAAGCAGAGAAGTTACGACTTCCCAGCAGCTTCTGGAGGATGATACCCTTCTGTTTCAAGCTTCTTTTTATATTTTAAAAAGTCTCTTCTTTTGTCAAAATATTTAACCTGTTTAAAAAAGAGAAAAGATATTTGGAAGAAACTGGCAGAAAAAGAGGCTTTGTGCATCACAAAAAGAATAAGGAATAATGACCAAACTTGAGGATGTTAACTCAATACATTAGTTAGGAGCTTCTTGCTCTGTTGAAGAAATTAAGAGTGGAGTATTTGTTTTGTGGATTTTTTTTTTTAATCATTTTGAAAGTGAGTTTCCTGCCCTAACCACCCAATTACTTCCGTAAGCATCTGATAAAACCAGTCTATTGCTATTTTCATTGCTATGAATAAAGATTACTTGTAATGCACAGAGATGATAAGCTCAGCAGCTTTTCTATGGTATCGCATCCTATGTAACCTCTGAATTCATTGCCTGGAGCCACTGATGTGCATGCTGCAAAGCACTGCATGTGAAACCATCATCACCAGAGATGACATACAGCAGAAATGCAGCGTTCAAAGTGTAAGTCACTACAGCAACTGCGAATGTACTTGGGTTTTTGTTACCAACTTCAGTCCGTTCAGCCCCTCAGCCACTGCTGTTAGCAAAAGAGCGTTAAAAAAGGTTAAGAACTACAGCTTGAGTTTAGGGAACCTAGAAGGCACAACGTGAGTGTGCTACGTGGAAGTCGATCGTTTCTGTGAAGTCACACTGCATGAAAAGGGTATGCACAAGGCATCAGATACCTGTCTTAAGATGCCATGCAAGTGCAAGCCCTGCATGTGGCCTCCCTTCCGTGCTAGCTTATCCTCTTTATTAACTTCTGTGCACTTCCACAAGCTTTTCATCATCTTTCTGAACTTTTTTTAAGCAAACAATCAGCCTATATGCTTGCGTAGTTGTGTATTTATCTGAAAGTCTGACATTGTGATTTCCTTCCCCTTTATACCATGCGCTTCAATCTACTTTTCACAGCTCCCAGGTTAGTTAGTGCTCTGCTCAGGAGCTGTAATTTCCCTGCAAGACAAAAAGCGTGCAAACCAAGTTATGTTTTCAAGGGCGCATGACTGTCTATGAGAAAGCGTTAGCACGCGTTCTGCAATGCAAGACGCCAGAGTTGCCATCATTAACGCGGTAAGCGGAGGCCGAGGTCGCGCCCGGAGCGGCGGCTGCTCACCCACTGCTGCGGGCACAGCGACTCGAAGGACCGCCGCAGCTGCTCACACTTGGAGGCATCATCCCCGTGGCTGTCCATGCACTGCCAGAACTCGTCCCGGGCCCCCCAGCAGGCCTTCCTCTCCTCCATCGTCGGCGCCGCCATCTCGCTGCCCACCTGAACGCAAACGGCGGTGTGTCCGAGCGGCACCGGGTCTGCTGCGAGCCGATCCCAAGGCCCCCGGGGAAGGGACTGCCGGCACGTACCGCCGCCACACGGACCGCAGACCAGCGCCGCCTCACCGCGAAGGTCACGGCCCCGGAAGCGGTGAGGCGCCTTTCCTAGTGCGCAGGCGCAGTCCCAGGCGAGGTTGGCCACGGGACATGGTCGCCATGGGGACGGAGATGCGGGATCCCTCCGCGGGCCGGGCCGGGCCGGGCCGGGCTCCGCGGATCATTCCGTCCCAACAGTTCGGTTCCTGCCGCCAGGCCCTTCAGGGGGCCCGCTTAGTGACAGGAGAGCCCTGGGTGCGTGAAGGGTGTGTTTCACACCCCAGAGACACCCAGCCGGGCGGCGGGTGAACTCAGCCGAGGGGCATCACCGGGAAAGAACCCTGCAGTGCTGGTAAAGAACACCCAGAAGCGCACTATGTTCGTTATTTTGTTTGGGAATCGGTGGCGTTTCCTTGGGGCAGTCCCTGCAGCTGAGGAACTGGAAGTCTTATTTTATGCATCACCATTTGCGCGGGGCACTGTTGCAGTTTGGAAAGCGATCACCCGTGTTGCCGTAGTCATCCGCTGCACTCGCGGGAAGAGTGGCTTTTTGGTGCTGCGAAGAGCCCAACTCTGCCGGGTGCAGACCCACTGCCAGCTCCCATGCTGATGGCTGGTGCTGCTTTGGGTGCGTGAGGCCGCCCGGCAGCCGGGCCAGGGAGCGGGTGGAGCTGCCGACCTACCTCGAGCTGGTTTTCCTTCTCAGCATGCAATACCAATTCCCACTGGTGGTTATGGGCATGCTCATCTGGTTCTCCTTGCAAGGTGGCTCACTTACCTCTATACCAGGAAAGGTATTTTCAGAGAAGACCAAGGATTTGTGCTTCTTCTGCAGAGTACCTTATAAGCCAGCCAGATCCGGAGGGGATTTTGTTGGTTAAAATGCCTAACCAACCCCTTCAAAGGGAATCTTTTTGAAGCAAAGTAAATGTGACTGCTGCTGTACACTGTACAGTATATAACAGCCCATGTTCTCAGCCCTGCCTATTTGCTTAACTACCTTCTGTTTGTTAGGCTGTGATAGGTAAAAGATAGAAATCCAGTAATTTAACATCTAACAAAACAGGCGGTTTAAGGTGAGTGGAAGCCACTACAAAAGTAGAATTTCAATTAATATTTTTCTGTTGAAAACAATTAATATAGAAGTAAATTTATATTACTGCTTACTTGGAACCCTTTTGCACTCAAGGTTTTGCAAAGCAAGCTTTTACAAGCATGAATATTGAAAAGAAAATTAACGTTACGTCTCAGGACTGAAACACGATTATAGGAAATGTCAGTTGCGTTTTAGATTTCAAAATTTATGGTGCATGTAATGTTGTTTTGTTACTGCGTCGTAGAAACGGAGTGGGTAATATGATTATGTATAATTAATCGCAAAGCCTGAATAGCACACCTGGGATTTGTGATAAATAGTTTATTCTTTAATGATCTGGAGCCCAAGAGATACTCAGTGGACACAATTGTAAATAGCTCCATGTAATGGATATTATGGAAATTTAGTGATCTGGTTTTAAGAAAGTGCATGGATAGAAAAAAGGTTTCTCTAATGCATTGTTAATGGCAATATTTCCAATTTGGTTAAACAGCTATCATAAGGAGGTGGATTTTTTGTTGTTTATTAGCCAATTCTAAGTATCTATCTTTATTCTCTTACTTTTGGGAAATGTGCCCAGTAAGTAATAAATGGGATATTTATAATACCGGGCAGAGGCAAATGTTCTAGAAAGAGGGGAGGCTGAAAAAATTCCAGATTTGTTAGGTGCACTGCTGGCCGCAGTTGAAGCCTTTGCATTACATTTCCATTTAGCTTTTAGTGAGATAGATGTTATTAAAGAAATAGATACCTGTCATAAAGACTTCATGTTGAGTTTTATGGATATCCTTTTAACAATAACCTGCCTTAACGTCTTTGGATGAGTTAGCAAGAATTTGGGGTTTTGAATGAATAAGGAAGGAGGAGTGTGTGAGGAGAAGGAAAACTGTAGCTTTCGTTTGGCAGCCTTACCAAATCAATTTTCTGAATCCCTAAGAAAATGTGCATTAAAAAGTTATTTCTCAACTAACTGGGGCTCTTACCTTGATTTCCTTGTAATGCTGTCTTTGCTGGGTCAACAATGCTGTGTCTTCACTGTCACGCTAGGGAGTGCCAGTGTGGCATGAACATTGAAAATTAAGCACATGGCCTGGGACACTGAGATGGAGACTTGGCTGTGTGGGTGCACCAATTAGCACAGACGGGGATTTGACTAGGAAGAACTAATCTGTCTGTGCAGGCTGGTATGGACACAAAAGGACGGAGAATAGACAGAACAGCAATTTTTATCTTCTCCAAATCTCAGTTTAGTGATCTGAAGCCTGCTGAGAAAAGGTTTCCTTGTCTTTGTGACAGCTCGTGGACATCAATGGAGAATTCCGTGAAACAGTCTGAAAATCAATAGGCTACCTAGACAAGTGGCGATTATGACCACCAGGGAGTGACAGGGGGGTTGGAACTAGATGATCTTAAGGTCCTTTCCAACCCTAACTATTCTATAATTCTATGATGAAGAAAAAAGAAAAACTAACCCAGCAGCTGGAGGTTTAGGATTCTTCTGAGGTGACAAAGTAATTCACATTAATTATAGGCATTGTTTTTTAATGCTAATATTCCATTTTTGTTCAGTTGTTAGGAAGGAAGAAAACAGGAGAAGGAGTATTTTGGGAAAAAACAGTCAATAGTAAGGTGGGAACACTAATTCTTACTCTTCTATTGGCTCCTGATTAGCAATTGTCTAAGCCTACCGAGAATGCGACAAGCTTGCTTTGCAGCAATGTCAATGCTCAGCCTTTTGCAGGAAAGCTAGATGGGAAACTGGGAATCTGCCTGTTCAACAAGCAGACTTCAACTTTCAAAGCTGTGTAAATGACAGAAGGAAACTCATCTGAGTTTCATTTGGATGCCTTCACATTTCTGTGGCATGTTATGTACTAAAAGTGAAGAAGTGGTTTCTAGTTCTCTCTGAGACTGAAACACATCCTAAAATTCTTTCTAAAAAATCCAGCTGCATTCTTGCATTCAAGTATTGTATTTAATAATGCATCAGCTGCACCAATTACTTATAGTCACTGTAAACATTGTCTGTGAAGTGTAGGTGTACTGTACCAGATGGGATTGCTTACACATGCACAAAGGCAACATCATTCTCAACATGATATTTGTTCCCAAGATCAATATCAATTTTCTTAGCAGCCAAGCTAGCAAGTGACATGCCTTTGACCAAATCCAAAATCACATAATGAAAGAGATGTTTTTGTTTACAAGTCATGAAGGCATTTAAAATGTGTAATTGGCCAAAAATCACAAAGAGGGTATTAAGCGACTTACTCTGCTTACTAGGCTGCAGGCATTTTGAAGCTTGGCAGCTTCAGAAGCCAGAGGGCCAGAGAGACTTACTGCTGGGAGATAGCAAAGCTATGTTCACTGGCCCGTAATGTATACTCATAGCCAGCAGGGCAGGAAACCCAAGCTGAAGTTCATGTTTTGTAAGTCCTTACAAATCTGTCTGCTCAGACCGCTAACGAGTAGAGAAGAGAAATATGAGGCTTATTTTCAGAAACATTAGTTTGAGTTACTGCTTCTGTCCTTAGGACTGTGATTTCCTCTTAAAAGAATATTTTTAGGCTGCAGGTGCGCATCTGTTCATTTGACTTCCTTTTTGCTTTCACAAGATCTTTCAGCTCCTTTTTTCCTTATGTCTCTTTCTAATGTTCAGGACTTTTAGATAAGGTGCAGGGATTTTTGAAATGCCCTAGAACATGACAACTGAAGAAGAAAATCTCATTGCTTCTCTTTCAAGAGTTTTGAGCTAATTAAATTTACCCATCAAAAACTATTTGCTGATAGCAGTTTCTGCAAAGACAGCTTGCATGACACCTGGACTGTGAAAGAGGCTTCTCAGTCTTGGCCTTTGCCAAGGGGTAACTCAGGTTTGGAGGCCTTGAAAGACTTAGTTCTTTCTGTAGGATGCATCGGGGACATGGAGCCAAACTCCTTATAGCTTATGACTTCAGAGTGAGTACGCAGATGCCGTTTCTTCAAATGAATTGTAGCAAGGGAAAGGTGAGTGTCTTCTCTTGGAAAATGTTTCCCAAAGGCATTTCTGTCCTGATACCGTCAGCAGTGTTTCTGTGCTCCTGCTTCACACCAGCTGCATTGTCCCTGACTTCTGTTCTTCTCCATTCCTTGAAGAAATCCATGTCCCAGCCTGCTTTCTGAGTCCACGAAGTCCAGGTGCAATGTATTGCCTGAAGAAATATAGGTAATTTCATCCGATTAATTTGTCTGTGTGTAATTTACAGTTGTTTAACATGGGTAAATCTAGTTTGCCCAGCTCCTACTTGGGAGAGAGTTTGTAATAGAGCGCTGTTTGAAATCACAGCCCTTGCATCTATTTAGTCTGTACTTGGGAAGGATAAGCCAGCAGAAGCAATGACAGTTGCATCAGGCAAATCACAGGGTTTTCCTGGTGCTGCTCTCCATTCTGGTGCATAAACTCCCCCACAATCCTATAGAATGTTAAAAAATTGGTCTGTCATTTTAGTAATAAACGTACATTAGTTGCAGTTTTTAAACTGGCATTTAGAGCCTTTTGGATACCTATGAGACTGCATCAAACACACAGTGAAATGGAGTGCAGAGATAACAGAAGATGCCACGTATTTGGACTAAGGAAAATGGAAGGACTATTTGTACATTCTTCTCTGGCTTTGCCTCAGGCAGGGGGCTTGGGGAGGGTGTGGATTACTTCAAGGATGACAAAATGATATGCCCAAAGATGGAGTAAACTTTAATATGAGAGCTTTGAGATCAAGTCTCTCAACCAGTTATTAGAGTTGTACCTGGGCTCTTGTCCTGTGCCTTACCCTCCCCTGCTTCCCAAAGAAATAGGTTAAAGATCCAGGTGTGTAAGACTGAATGGGACAGTGGTTCTGAGCAGCTTCCCACAGCCTCAGATTTTTGCCTGTGTGTATAATCTCTGTTAGCAAGTCTTTAGTATCTGTTTGGTCATGAAGAGATTATGAAGATATGGAGAAAACAACATATGGCTTAGGCTAGGGCCTAATGATTAATGTACAAATTTGTGTCCCATCCATTGTCCCTAAATACCTCTTAGCATATGCATGTATGGCTGCTCACCAATGGTTTCAAAGGAAGCTCCGCTTTTCTTTTGGTCTGCTTCTGCTGGACATGTGTTTCCTGACTGATGCCTGACATCAGCCTTCCAGGAAGACTAGAGAAGACTTTGCTGTTGAAGACAGACTGGCAAGCAGTGACAGACTGGCAAGGGTTGCATTCTGTCCCTTTTGATCGCTTTGGCCCAATACCACCCACAGTAAAACAGGAATAGAAGTGCAGTCAAGAGAAAGAAACAGATAGCATTGACTGAGGCTGAGTTTAAAATCTTTTATTATTTAGCTTTGCCAAACAGATAATGGAATCTGAAGTTGCTTTGCTAAAATGTTTTGAAGTGGATGCCACCCCTGCCTGAGACAAAGAGGACCTCAGTGGCAGCAGGGACCCTTAGGGTATGGCAGCAGTTCAAAAGAACACTTTTAATTTTGTATGCAACAATGTAAACTTCAAAAATAGTAAACTATAACCCTTCCCCCCCCACTTTTTACATAGCATGTGATCTATCACAGATAGAAATTTAATGGCGAACCAAAATCGCGTAAGTAAACATCCTGGTGCTTACAAGTTTCATAAAAAGTGTTACATTTGATGTAAATATCTCACATTTTTACTCTTAACACTCACAATTATGGAGTAAAAGCAACTGGTGATTCACCCCCTTAGTCCGTGCTCTCAGACTGTACATCAGCAACCACGCTCCTGCCAGCCCCTTTGATCGTTTTTGGTTGGCTTGTTCCACACATGACCAAGACTTCCCCTTCCTTACACTGGTGTTAACCAAACGCAGCTTCACACAGGGGTAAAACCTGTGCAAGTGAGTAAAGAACCAGGTCTGCTGCACGCAAACGTACGTGTTCCCACAGAAGCCACGGCGTGTATGGAGCGCACGTCCTGATGTCGGTGGGAATTTGGGGTCCCCCGGGGCTGCAAGCCTGAGCCCTGCCATTGCAAATGCCTCTTGGCAGGACCTGGTTCTGCGTGGATAAAGACAAGAGTTCTGTAGAAGGCACTGGATTTCTCTTGCATGATTTTATACGTGGACTACAGTCATGTGCAGAATAAGGAGATTAGGGCTCTAGACTGCTTTCTCTCTAGTCCTTTAGTGCAAACATTTTTAGCACTTAAATTTTCTCCTGACTGCAGTGCAACATGCGCTCACCTACATAGAGTGATTTCCAAACCTCTTTCCTTCCTTCCACTCTTCCCCCCATCTTCCAGTCCCAGAAAGTTTCCCTTTTATTTTCCGTGACAACTTTCAGAGTACAGCTCTGGTCAAAAATAAAGGTGTGATGTAGCATAGCATTTGTTTCTTTAAATCACAGTGTGCAATGCATCATTCAGTACCTAATGTTCAAAATGTCTGCCCTGCATTTCATGAAAATCGTTCTTTAAAATAACCTATGCAAATATATTTTGACTATATATTACATTCATTTAAAAAGAGAAGAGAGGTTCTTGGTTTGCAGTTTTTTTTTCAGTGTACTACTTAAGTGAAAGGTCTGATGTGAAAAAAGTACAAGCAAACTGGACATGCCAAGATTCAATGCCTTAGATGGTGATCATATCAAAACTGTACAGGTATGTACACCATGTTGGACAGGTGTGCTTCTTTCCAAGAAAAGACCTTTGCATCATCATAGATAAGGTTAACCACAAAGTTTTGTTAAAAAGAGCATTTAATGAGCAAAGGACGACATGGAGGGACGAGTTCTCCGGCTTTTATTAGGCAGTCCTGAAGTAATGTCTCCATTCCCTTCAGGGATTTCTTCCTTCTTCCGGACTTTGAGACGCGTGAGGAGCTTTATTACCCAGACGTCCCACTCCTCTGGCAAGAGCAACAGGAGAAAGCCCAGGCCAATAATGATAATGGCGATCACCCGGACACTGTTGAAGACAATTTCACTCGTGTAGTGATCAACAACTGTGTGGGACATTGAACAGCTGTTATTACATGGAACAGAGCATTAGGACAGTATCCCTATCCCTCCCCTTTGCCTCCCCAGCTCTGGAGGCTGGCTTCAGCAGGAGAACATGGCCATGGAGGCAGTGGTGGCAGGAACACTACTCTTCCTGATGATTTAGCACATAACAGGGTATGGCCCCCTTCAGAGCAGGCAGAGCTGGCCCGTGGGCTCAGTATGCAAAAGGCACAACACCTGGAGTTGCAATTATTGTCTGCAGTGGCATCTTCTCCCTTGCTCACCGACAGCACAGGAACTCCCACTGAGGTCCAGGTACACAGAGAAAGGGGTATTTCCCTCCCCAGCACAGCAACTCCTTCGTGCTAATTTTAATTCTCACCCTGGCAGCCTCACTGAGTAAGAAACCCTGTGGACACTGAGCCATGCACATGCTCTGTGGGATCACACCACTTGGTACCAAAACCTGCCAGGACCACCAGCAGTGCCTGGCCCTTCATGCCTGTAGTCAGCACAAAGCTGGGAGCTTCTGCCTGCACCGTGGCACCAGTTCAGCCTGGCTGGCTTTGGGAGAGGTGGCTCTGGTTTGAGCCGGGGTTGCCTCTGCACTCGCCTGCCCAGCACTCTCTGGCTCTGCAGTCTCTTGGCTTCCACTAAATTTCAGAAAACAGTCAGTGAAATGTACCAGGCCATGCCCAAAACTGAATTGTCCAGAGCTCTTGAAAAACACCTGCAATGCTGGTTACCAAGGCAAGCAGAATTACTAGTATCTGTTTACTTTAAAATATAAGCAATTTTATTTGGTTCAATTTAGTGTTAAGCCTGCCCTGCAGAAATCATTGATTTCTACCTCATCTGTGACTTGTCATTCCAACCCCGAGATCTACTTTGAAAAACAAATCTACTTTGTTTTTCAGTAGCCACGCTTCCTTGGACAGTAATTTAAAAAGCAGTTTTAGAGATTATGAATATTCATGTAATGTTATACAACACATTTAACACCTAAAGAATGCACTTTTTATCTAGGTTCTCTCCATAAGTCTTTGAGAGAAGATGCAAAACATGTTTAATAAAGCTATTTGATTGTATCCCTGCTCTGCATTTGAAAGGCCACAGATTTAATTTATTCATTAAGATGCAAAAGACAGAAATTCTTACCTGCATTCACTGGGACACTCAGCACAATTCCAAGAGAAATCAAGGTGGGGTAGGTAATAGCAATCCCAAAATTTAGTAGAATATTGAATGCTGAAGAAGGAAAGAAAAGCACTTTTTACTACAGTGAAACTAGGCAGGGGGCCAAATCACTCTTGTTCTAAGGCGATTAGCTTCAGCAAAGTCAGGACAGCCTCGCCAGTACTGACCATGTCAGGAGCTGGGGCTGACTGTAGTAGTACCTATACATCACACAGCCCAGTGATCTCCTGCCAATTGCTGCACTGCTTGCTCATAGAAACCTTCCATTTGAATCCACTGATAAATAAACTGGAGTTACTTGTAGAGCCATGTGTTGTGACTGTTCTGGGTAAGAGGAGCTGGGACTCAAGATAGGTATGGAAAGGGCTATTTCCAGTAGAAACAAATGGAACATTCTGGGAGATGTGATGGCATCATCCTGTGTAGTGAGCAACTGTGGCAGCACAGTCCACATATCTAGTTTGACAGGGAACAGCATCACACTTCTCATGACCATGACTCATTAAGGCTTAGATTTGGCATCCCTCCCAAGCTGGGCTCCCTTGGTGGCACAGCAGAGGCAGCAGAACAGAGGAGAGCCGCCTACCTAATTCCCATCCGTGCTGTGCAATGCTACATTTTCAAAACTTTCCTGCTCTTTAGGAATAGCAATTAGCTATTACTGAAGTCAGCAGAGGCACTGCAGGTTGGCCTTGACTTGCCTGACCTAACCTGCTCGCTCGAGGGATGCTGATGAGCTCAAGGTAATGCCCTGCCAGAAGGGCTGCTTCCCATCCACAGCCTGGGCAAGTCTCTCTGTCTCTCTGAAGCAGAGTTCACAAGTAGGAGTGAGGATAAGCTTTACAGTTTACTCCCACAGCACCTTCTAATGAGGGCCACAATATTATGGCTTGGTAATAACAGCAGAAGTGGGTTCTGCATTGCCACCTAGGAAGGGACCCTCTGCATAATTTCTCAACCTAATAACTGGGTTGAGAAGAAGGGAAAACAGCTCTAGAATGTCAGAGGTCTGCAGCAGCCAGTTTTGGGAACCCTCCTCCACCCCGAGCAGTGTGAAAATCTCCCATCTACTCACTCAATAACAGAATTGAAAATCCACAGAGGTTTCCCCAAGGAATGATGTCAAAAGAGCTCCAGTACTCCACTTTGGTAAAATAAAGGATGACAGGAATACAGGTAACGAAGAGGATGTTGAAGACGGCTAACACAGACAGGAATAAGGCAGCTTCTCCAAATTTAGCACTGCCCAAAAGAAGTTTGAATAAAACCTACAAGAGGAAAACACATGGGTTTAACTCTCTTGCACCACTCCTCTGGAGGGCTGGTTGCTGTCTTGGCTCCAGTGGCTCCCAGAATGCTGGCCCACTGGTCAGTGGTTGGGGCCAATGGGCTGCTGTCAGTCAGCACCTATATGGCAATGCTTGCCATACACTTGAGGTGGCTGCTTGTGAAGCTGTGATTTCCAGCTTGTGTGCCCCAGCCTTCTCCCTGCTGGGAGCCAACTAGAACACAGGAAAGGGCAACCACCAAAGGAGCCCATGCAGGAAGGGGGCTCAGCACCTTTGGTCCTCTGGATAAACTAATATTAAATCCAGAAGACTTGGTGAAGCAGGGCAGGGGTGAAAAGAAAGCAGCCTGTGTGATCTTGCATGAGACATCACTGGTCCAGACCTTGAGCTGCCACCTGAGGAGCGCTGCCTTGCTAAGCAAGCACAGTCCAAGCTGCCCGGCTGTCCTCCTGCCTTGTCCTGCTGTGCACCATGGCCTACCCACAAGCACTGCTGTCCCTGCCTCCCTACACATGCTCACAGTGCCAGACCACTTTCTCCCTGGGAGCTTGTTCCCAGAAGGCAGATAGTGCAGCAGCAGCCTCACAGTCTGGAACACAGCTGCAGCCTAATGAGACCACAGGGAGGGATTTAAAAGCTTTGGTTTGTTAACGGGAGAAAGGATAAAGACAGAGGAAACAAGGGATGTGAGTGGCCCGTTGAAGAAGTCCCTGCAGACAGATTTGGTCTGGTGTCTACATCAGTTTTCCACATAAACCGGAGAGTATCCAGCAGAACCCATGGGCTCTGGGTACAGCTCTCCTCTGCCACAGGCTGCAGACTAGTACAGCTGATAGAGTCTGACTTACTGGTTTGTGCTGGGATGGCAGGCCCCCCCACCAGTGTCCCTTTGCCTACCCAGAGACCTGCAGGCAAGTCTGCAGGGCCGCCATGCTCATGGAGCTGCTGCCTGCTCCCACCACCTCACAGCTCTCACTGCCAGTGCAGCTGCATTGCCACTCTGCATAATGGATTACTCCTCATGTGCACCCTGAGGATGGCTTATTGCCCCTGGCAGGGCTGGCAGCCGACACAGGCAGGCTGAAGTGTGTCTGGGGTAGAAGGGCAGGTGGAGGTGGTTCTGCTGCATGTGGCACAGCTTATCTGCTGGCAGAGCTGCCTGCTTGCTATGGCACAATTCACAGAAACTGAGCCAGGCTGTGGGAAGCAAGAGCAGAGTGGCATTCATTGCAGAACAAGCTGCACAACTCCATCTGCCCTTGCATGCAGGGTGTACTGCAGTGAATCACCCTGCCAGCACTGCCACCATCATCTTTCTGTGCGTGGGCTCTGGTGGAGCAGCACCTGCAAGGTGCCATGGGAGAAGGGGCAGAGCTCGGATCTAGCCTTGAATAATCCTGCCTGCCTGCAGATGACTCCAGAGCCATGGTGTTTCCTTGGGTCTGGAAAGCCACATCTCTCTTCTTGCATCTCTCTTCTCTTTCGTTTTCTTTTAGGGGAAAGTGTTGTATGACACTTCACAACCTCCCTTATGTAAGACACAGGCTGATCTGAAAAAAGGAGCAGAAAGCATTGCAGTGCAGTGTTGAGGGACACGGACAGATGCTTCTCAGTTTGGCGAGCCTCCCTGGATTGCTTGCGTTAAGGCTGCAGGGCTCGCCTGGTCAATTTTTGTTGCAGGACTGGAATGGTGCAATTCATTAGGCCATATGGAGTCATCTACACCTCATCCTGGTCTTTCTACACATTCGAGCTAGGGTGGGTGACCCACACCCTACAAGTCCTTATTCCTCTCTGGACTGTGACTCTGAGTGCCATGAGCAGCACAGAGGCAAATGCATATACGTGTCCCAGGCTACATGAAACAGCTCTCTGCTCAGCAGAGAAGGCTGCATGTCCTCTTACACACTGTGCAGTTTACCCTGCTGGTCCCTGGATGAGACCTTGTGCTCTGGATTCTAAGCATGTAATTATTTCCATGATAAGCAGTACTTTAAGCCCAATGCACCTACATATGCCACTGAAGGAGGACTGGCAAGGAGGGGTAACAAACTGACTTGAAAAAGAAGCTAAACCTCTGAAAGGTGCTTCCAGGGTGAGTGATTAAATCTAGCACCTGTGGAAAAGAAGCCTCATTTCTCGAGAATGCAGGGCAGCTCTAGTTCTCCTGTGGACACTGGAGAAGACTCTTCCCAGGAAACAGGAGTTTTCATCCTAAGTGAATGCCTGAATGCAGTGTTGTAGTCAGTGTGCTTATGGCAGAGCCTCTGAAAGAAGGGAATGTGGCACTGAACTGCATGAAGGTCTGCAAGTAAGACAAGAGCAGTTCAAAAGAGTGAAGAGGGTGACAGCCACCTTTCAGGGTGTGGAGGGGAAGACCAAGGTGTGCTTACCTTGTAGAGAGCAGACATTGAGGCAGAGCCCACCACCAGGGCTATCCCAATAACTGAGTGGCTGTGAAACCCATCAGCGTACGTCATCATAACTATCCCTGCAATGGCAAATATAGCAGCCACAATCTAGTTGGAGACAAAGAAAGAAAGCAAGAAAAGTGTTACTAGACAACCACCGACACAGAAAAACAGGTGAGCAGGTTTAAATGAGAGGGCAGTACTGCATCATCTGCTTGTGTAGAAAACTGGTAGCAAGCCCTGCCTGATACCCATGGAGCCAGTGCTGCCTCCCCTCTCTATTTCTCTGTCTACAGAGAAGCTGCAGGCAGAGCTGTGAAGCAGTTCTGCCATGGAGCTGTGTGGCAGACCAGAACACTGGGCCCAGTTTGTCTCGGGCTGAGCTGAAGGGGGATTTCATCTCTGTCATTGGGTCCCTGCAGCCTCTGCGTGACAATAATGCAGAAGTAATAGTTCCCTGGAGTTTGCAGGGAAGGCTTTGAGTGCGGTGGAGGCTTTGGAGGAAAAAGGTTTTTGAAATAAACAGGGGAATAAAACTCTTGCAACCACTTTTCAGTTCATACACATCATTTCAGAGAGGCAGGTTTAGTCATCCTCCAACGCCTGAAGGGAGTTGTTCAAGGGGAGGTAGCATGGATACAGGCTGCAGGGTCAGCAGCTTCTTTGGGACTGTCCTGCCAGATGCCTCAAGCCTCCCCAGGAAGTAATTCTGGAGTGAAAAGGGCTTTCTGCATGCTCTGTGCCTCATGGCTCTGCTGTGGTGTGAGGGGTGCCCTGCTTTAAAACCACATTCCCGTTGGCTGCACAGTCATGGTGATGATTCTATGACTGGGATAAATGAGTTTATTTTGACCTGTAGCTGGGTCAGTGCCAGCCAGCTGTGCCCTCTCCTGGAGCCAGACTGGGTTTTAAGACCTATCCCCAGGCTGCGCTTCCTACCAATGCTGCAACTTCTCTGCGGTGGAAACTTAATGAGCATTAATGAACTGCAGAATGAAAAGCGTCCAGTTTTGCTTTTACTGTCAGGGTCTGACTGACTTCAGAGCACCTCCCAGGAGGCTGGGTCTCTGGTTGGACAGGAAGATTATAATTTGGGATTTGTTAGTCTATTTATTTCCAAGTCCCACTGGCAGGTGCTCTTGTCTGTGTGATATGTACACAGGAGTACCTGCCAGTGATGCCTCTCTTGGATCCTGAGCTATTTTACTTACTGTAGCATGCAGGGAACATCAAAGTCAAAGATCAAAGCAAATAACTGCAGTCTGCAAACAGTTTTGCTGGGGCACAAGTCCCTGCCTCTTCTATTGAGCATGTCACAAGTGTCAGATGAGTCTCGGCCTCACCTCTCATCCTGCCTGTCGACATGCCAAGCATGTCACATACGCTGCCTCTGGAAGCCTTTCAGCCTGTCTATCAAGCACACCATTAGTGGTGGCGAGAGCCTGCTTGCACCACACCACAGCTGCCAGCCTGTGGTTACCTGCAAATGCCTCAGCACCACAGCACTTCTGAAACCTGCAGCTTCATTACATGTGTGTCCTCTCTGAAAGCAATACAACAGCTCACAGCCCTGTTGGACCATTGCTCTGGGCACAGTGAAGGGAAAGGGGGAAAAGTGCAAGGGAGAGAGGTAGGCACTTACAAGTGCCTGAGTGGCTAGGATGGGATTTTGTAGCTTGCTCTTACATTTAAATTCCAGCCAAACTGTGATTGAAGTGCCAGCTGCACTTCTGAATGCCAAGTGGGATGCTTGTACATGCTTAAACCCCACTGAGCTGTGCCTTTCTCACCTGGCTTCTCCTCCAGCAGGTGTGAACAGGGACACCCAAATGTGCCATCACAGCTTTGCTGTGGCACCATCTATCCTGAGATGCTGCCACGGGATGGAGCGGGAGCATGGGATGATGCTAGCTGAAGGGCAAGGCACTGTCTCCTCTGCTGCCTCATCTGCCAAATACCCTCCCAAAAGCTGCTTCCAAAAGGGTCAGCAGCTCTGACTCAGGATGGCCTCAAGGGACCAGAAGCTTTGGGGCTGGCCTGTGTGTTGGCTTGCAGTCCCTAAGTCACTCTGGGAAAAGCCCCAGCACCTATCCTTCGTCCTGGTTGCCAGTCCCAGGAAGAAGGCTTTGCTCATCCTGAGGCTATCCCTCAGCACACCAGGCAGTGCCGTGCTTGCTGCCACTATCTTTTTACTTGAGCTGTATGGAAAAGAGGAAAGAGGGAAGACAATGAGTCTCTCCAAGAGAGTCCACATTATGGCACTCCGCAGACAGGAGTGTCCCCAGCACTCCCACTGTGCCGCATGAATCTATGCAGCAGGGCTGCTCTGCTGCCCCAAGCCCTCTCGGTCCCTAGGGAAAGTGCCTTCTCACTTGCATTTTGCCACAGGTTAAGGTGCCACATCTGCACAAGAGCAATGAGCCCACTGCCTGCGAGCCCCTTCCTCCTGCACCCAGGTCCCTTGCTGGCCCATCACCTGGGAAGGAGACAGCTGTGTTCCTCCTTGGGAACAGAGGTGGCTTTCTCACCCCTCACCAGCACTGGGTGCCATATCACATGGCAGGAGCATCACACAGCCCCTACTGCCTTGGCCCCTGTTCTGGGTCTCAGCTTCACTGCTGCTCTCCCAGGGCAGTGGTGATAAGAAATGAAGGACGGCTGGACATGGCCAAGACCACCACTCAGATCTGCTTCCCTGCTCCTTCCATTCCTTTGGCCCTAGGAATCCATAGCAGGATCCATCCTCCAGTGAGTGTCACCTGCCATGGCATGAGACTTTGCCTAGCTGGGAAGCTGCTGGAGAGCCGCTGATCACTCTGGCTCTTCACGCGGAGCCATGTACCCGGGAGAGCACAAGAAGCATCTCTGTTACAGCTTGTGTCTGCCCGTGTGGGTATCCCCACACAGGTTCCCACAGCCATATCCAGTGGCGAAAGATGGCAGTGCAGACCACGGAGCACACTGCACACACAGGACAGCAGTGGTTGGCCTTGTACACACCTCCTCTCCTGCATCCCACCAGCACTACTGTAGGCAGTGCCACAGGGCAGCTGAAGACCACAAAAAAATGCATTATTCTCTTTCTACTTTGCTCAAAATGGCCATCACATGCAGCCATGGTACCAATGGCACCCCCTCCTCCAGGACAATTTCGGACATCCTTGCTTCTATACTAAAACCCCCGGTTAATTTGTTTTCAGGTACTGCTACCTGGGCAGGGGGTGGGCAAGAGCAGACACCATCTGGCCAGGTTGGGGTTTTGGCAGGTACATTTTGCAACGATTCCCTGAGCAGCCTCTTGGCTGCCACCACCGCAAGGCTGGCCAAGCTCTCCTGCCAAGCTCGCCTGCTGGAGAGCAGCACTTCCTGAAGAGTTAACTCTCAGTTGCTCCATGCAGCGAGGCCTGACAACCTCTTCTGAGCTCTGAGAGCACGGCCTGGGTGGGTGAGCAGAGAGCTGCTCAAATGGTGGGCAGAAAACAAGCATTATTACCGTTATTGCTGTTAATAAGTGCCTGCTGGGGCAGTGAGGCAGGGGGAACACACTGGCACCTTGTAGTTACTCCTGGCAGGCCCCCCCCTGCCAGGGGTGATGTGCTACCCACCCTCCTGGCCCTGCTGCAGGGGACACTGCATGCTGAGTGCTGCCAGAATGGCTGCAGGATAAGCAGGGAGCTGCAGGGTTTTCTGATAATAGCCCCAGCACACAGCTCCATTGCCACATGTAGGACTAAGGGTGTAAGCAAAGACTTGGGGTGTCACCAGCAGAGCAGCCCCAGGGAAGCGGGCTCACTGCGGGCCATGCCGCCTGGCCCCATGTCCACAGCAGCTGGCCAGATGCAAGTCCCCATGTGTTGGTGTTACACCCATCCTCCAGCAGCGACACATACACACGTTTTGGCCATGGGTGGGCAAGGGCAGCCCAGCTGCTGCTGATTGACATGGGTGCAAAGGATAGCCATGCCACCCCGCAAGCCTGCTTTCACACATAGCAAGGTGTTTAAATTCAAAGGTTGGGACCAGAAGGGAACTGCATGCAACTGGGGCTTGCAGGAATGTGAAGTTAGAAACCACTAGGTCTGCTGCCATAGCCTGGGAATAGTCATTCGGAAGGGGCCAGCAAAGGCTGATGAGCATCCACAGCAACACAGAGGTAGCACCTATCCTTTGTGCCACATCTGGAGCAAGTTACCTCTTTCCTGACGGAAAATGCTCAAAGGCATCAGGCTGGGTGATACGTGGGCTCCAGGAGCTCACGGGTGCCTGGGCAGGCTGCAGGGAAGGATGTGTTCCTGCTCTGCAAGGATTTCTGTGCCCATATGGCTGTCTGCATGATGTGCTGTTTGACTTGGCCAGCGTGAGGGAAAGGGGAAAGGAAAGGCAGAAGGGTGAGGAGGAAGAGAGACAGAGATAAGGAGTCACTTACCCTCACTCCCATGAACCTGTCCCTCAGAACGATCCATGAAAGCAAGAACACAAAAGCTTTGTTGCAGCAGAACAACACGGAGACATCCGTAGTGTTTATTTTCTTTATTGCATGTAAGTAAAGGTAGTTTGTGAGTGTCCAAAGAACACCAAAGGGTGCTGCTTTGGTAAAAAACACCTTCAAAGTCAAACCATTGTCTCCAAAAAATCGGCAGCACTCCCTAAAACAAGGAGAGAAAGGCAGTGTTATTGCACAAACCAGTCACAGTCTGCAACAAGTATATGGGTTCCTTTTCTTACTCGCCTTCTTTTCCTTTTGGGGAAAGAGGAGGGCATACCTTAAAGAGGAGAAGAAAAATAAGTTTCAGCTTGTGCTGTAGCATGCAGCACCTGCAGAGTGTATGAACACACCAGGGTGGCAAACATGGGAGGGCAGCAATGAAAGGGGCAAGGGGAGAGGTGAACCTAGGAGGTGAAATCTCACTCACCATGAGTGAGCACCTTCACAGTGGACACTTTGAAACAGTGTGGGGTCATCCTCCTCCTTTCACCCCTGTGGGCACCAGGATGCCGAGGGGCCAAGGCTGGCAGCAAAGCCCTTGCTTTCCGCTCCTGGAAGGAGCCTGGTGTGGGGTTTTTCCACCCAAGGGATGACACCTGGCTCAAGCTCCTGCTGCAGCAGCAGGGGCAGGAGCAGGAGGAGGTGGCTGGCAGCTGCCTGCTCCCACTGGAGTGAGGACATGCACTGGGACATGGCACAGTGGCACCCAAGGACATGCTGTGTCAGTTGGAGCAGCAGCGTGTAGTCAGGAGCTTAGGTGTGCAGTTAGGCCTGTGGATGCTGCGAATCCCAAGCAAGAGGCAGCGGGAGCTGGTATGGCCCTGGTATAGGGAAAGGAAACACCAGTGGTTTATTTGTGTCCTGGAGGCGCTGGCAGGCAGAAAGGGACAAGAGGTGATGGGCACAGCCTGGCACAGCTCTGGGGAGGCAGAGGGTCGGGGCTGGGATGGGGCTGCCTGGGTCACCTGCCTGCCTGCAACCTGCTTCTGCCGAGCTGCAGAACTGTAGCTGCCAGCTGTGCTGCCTGCACGGAAATTCGGTAACGTGAGGAAGAAATGCAGAGGTCTGGAGGCCAAGGGTGCAGCCTGCAGAAGTCTGCAGGTGGTGGCCAGTGGTGGTGCCGTGCCCTGCGCTGGCTCTGCTTGCTTTCAAACCCGCAACCCCCGCGTCCCTCAAGTACTTCAATGAAGTGTTTTGCAAAATCTGAGCAAAGTTAAATTCTCCTCTGGCAATGAAGCCAAACAGATTTTGACTCTGCTTTGAAAGTCAAGCTCTTTGCTTCCCGAGACTGGGCACGTAAGGCTCATTATCTGGAGTCTGATGATGGGGCTATATCAGGTGATTACCTAAAGAAACCAAAGACACTGGGGAGGGCTGCACTGCCAGGGCGTCACAGGCAGCCAGTTTAATGCTCCGAAGGTAAAAACATAAACCTGGGCACAGTTTAAACTAAATGACCTTAAGTAAGATTAATAGGAGAGGGACAGGAAGGATGTAGCCAAATGAAAGGACTAAAATGGAATTTATGTTGGGATTCATTCTGGGAAAGAAAAGTTCCTCCTGCCAAAAGCTTGTTCCCTACCCGTACAACTGGGTTTCACAATTTCACACACAGTAGAACATGTGCTTTTACTGTACTGTGGGCCCAACTCTTGTTCAGTAGATACCACTGGATCCATATGCTAGCACCACCTGGCATTCGCCCCTATCCCTGAAGCACCCAGTGTAGTTCCATGATGTCCCAAAGGACAACCTTGCCTTAGCATGGATCAGGGCCCCAAGCTGCATTTCTCCCTTTGAGACCTGTACAATAAAGCTTGGGTTTAGCTGTTTTTGGCTGGTTTCACCAATTGCAAATTTCTTCTTGCAAGTTGGCTCCAGCTTCCAAAGGAGACCTCCTTATGGCAGGGGTTTTCCCATCCAGCATAAAGCTGTAAGGGAGCTTCTCTCCAAGAACACCTGATGTTGTGGAGGGTGCTACCAGACATTCACCCACATGCACAGAGAGCCCTGTTGTCCAAAATGGGTGCACTGCTGAACTGCGGGTGCTTTGTGGGGGAAGACTATGGGTTAGATGGGTTTCTTGGACCTGGCACCTTCAGTGAAGTTGGAGGAAATAGGGGAAATGTGTATTTCAAGCCCTAGGATGGCTATATCGTGTACAATAACCCCCTCACAATTAGTTGTCTCCTCAGGTTCGCTACTACTTATCAGGGAAAGTGATGTTTCCTCAGTGCCATAACACAGCTTGTGAAGCTATACATGGAAGCATTTGATAGAGAGAGTTGTCAGTGCATAATGGTAGATAAATAGTCATGGGAAGCAAGACAGGACTGTGATATAACCTATGCTTCAGTCCCCAAACAGTTGGGGGAAGAAATTACTCCAGAAAAACCAGCCTTCAACTTTAAATATTTCAACAGAACATTTTGGACACAGTTGCTCCTGCTGTCCAGTAATTTCAGTTTTGCCAACAAGGATGCTTTGTACACAATGAGTATCCTGATGTTTTATGGATATGCCTTGAAAAAAGCAGAGCTGGTGTCCTGTGGTACTCCAGATGTGCCTGACTGCACCAGAAGAGCCTAACTATGAGCATTTTAACAATCTCATCTGCTAATGGAAATGTCACTTTTTAAGAAAGACAACCCCCCACCCTGCCTGGAGGGCAGTCTGTGAGCGTTCAGCATTCTTTGGAGCCCAACTCAGCACTGTGGACCCTAGAATGAGGCCTGAGCCCAGGTATCCCAAAAACATGGGTCAGATGGGGAGCTGGTATTGGTTCCTTCAGGTTTTACAGGACAAACTCCTGCAGCTCTCCCTGCCCATGGCAGGACACGAAGGGAGTCCTCTGTTTGCACCAGAGCGAGCTGGCTGCCTCCGGGCTGGGGTGGAGGTGGCATTTGGTATCTCCTCCTGGGACAAATGTGCAGTGATGGCGAAGTGCCCTGCTCTGGCAGGGACACCACCAGCCTCCTCTGGCTTTGACTGCTGAGGACAGCAGCCTGTGAAAGACTGGAACGGAAATGTCAAAGGATGGATACTGGAAGGAAAGTGTACTGGCTTAACCACTGCAGCAGTAAAAAAGAAAAGCTTGCTCCCACTCAGATGTGCTGTATCTGTGTTCACAGACAATCTGAAGGCTCACAGCTGAAATAAAAGGCAGGATTACACTGCTGGGAGGAGGTCTACATGTGAACTGAGAGAAATGCATTGTTATACATAGCCCTTGGGAAGTGGGAAGTGTTTTCAGAGAGATGTTACATAGTGGATGTGCCCGCCATGGGGTGTTGCTGAGGGGGCTGCTGAAGCAGGCACCTCTGCTGTGTGTCAGAGTAACAGGATGGTGCAGGTGGGAAAAAGCAGCACATGCTTGGCCTGGCTGCTCTCTTCTTCAGGATGACAACTGGGATGGGTGGTGTAAAGACCATAAAGCCCACCTTGGGGCAGAAGTAGGTGCCTGGCTTTCAGGGTATCGTCTGCATGGGATGACAGCGATGGGGACAGACGGAAACCTGTTTTATAGAATTTATAATATAATTTATTACTTATAACTAATAAAAAAAATGTAAAAAATAAAGCATTAGGCACCACATGACATAACTGAGCCCACTTTACGCCGCTGTGGCAAAAAACCCCTGCAGTAACAGCCCCAAAGCAAGGTTTAGCAAGTTTTGACCAGCACCAGCCAGGCTGCACGTACCAGTGGTTCTCTCTCCCAGATGGGGGCTCTGGTCCCCTGACACTTGTCACAGGGTGCCCCTGACAACTTGGCCTTATGCAAACATGTAATGTCACCTGGGAAAAAAAACTTAGATGCTACTGCACTACAGGAACTGTGCTGGGATGAAAAATACTAAAGGAAAGCCTAAGGCACAGAGAACTTACTGTTTGTATTTTCACTCTAAATTGTTTGCTGGTTTCCTAATCTTTCATGTACTAGTTCTTGGTTTTGCTCATAATCATTTTAGTGTGTATCTTCATTAACCCAGCAAATGGCAAATTAGCTCTGCCCCATTAGGCATGTCTTCAGCACAACAGTACTAGCAAAATACCTCCGTTGCTGGAACTGAACATGCCCAGTGAAGTAAATCAGAAGTTGGCGGTACCAAAATTGTGTGCTAAGTAAGAGTTAATCATATTGAAAGCAGGTGCTGCAGTCAAATAAAACTTGCGAATAAAATGATGATAATGCTCCATTTTTTCCCCACTGAGCTCACAATTATCATAGATTATCATCATTATGTTTAACACTATCCATCTTCCACTGCCTGCTTTGTCTTTAACCATTGCTAGGTAGCCAGGAGGTTTCTCCATTGCTTTGAACCTTGTGCAGATGAATGTATAAAATTCTGCCAAGACTGGAAGGAACGCTTTTTTGCCCCCATTTTGCAAAAAAAGACCCCTATGAAGAGGAAAGGTTGGCAAGAACCAGAAAAAGCACACACAGTGCATTCCCCTGGGCTGCGGTTTGGTCTCTTGATAACTCACTGCAGAGCAAACCTGTGCCAGAGAGGTTAATAAGCCATTGAAGCCGCTATAACATCCTTGTGAAAGGTGCAGCAAAGTAGAGATTTTCTGGGAGGAATACGCATCCTAAGGGGATACTTTGCACACGCTGGTTATTTCTCCTTTCCAGACCATTAGCTTCTGTCACAGTTTTTTCACCATCTCAGTGCTCATACCAGAGCCTTCTCCTCCAAAGCAGGTTTGGATCTGCTGTTGTTACTAGCAGGTGGTGTTTTCTCCTTTGTAGACTGCGCTTCTTACTTTGACCTTGCAAGGTCTGTACCTGCAAATTGAATTTGGCTAAATTGCTCCTCATTTTCAGCAGAGTGAGCATCACCTCCCTGGAGCACGGGAAAGCTGCCACTGTGGCACTGAATCTGTCCTCTTGATTATAGATTGGCAGGCAAAACATATTTTCCTAATCCATGTACTGATGAGGCCTGCATGGATAAATAATCTGCAGATGCACTGTTAACAGTTGTAGGTTTTCCATTCAACATAGGAAAAAAGATATATGGACTTAATATATCATGCCACATCTTCGGGGGGCGGGAGGGGGGGATGACTCACAAGCCAGGTGCAGTATCCAAAAGCAAAGATGATGGATGATGTGCCCTGGCTGTTAATAGGAGGGAAGGAAACTATACCCAA